AACCGAGGGCATCGCAGGCTTCGCATAGGGCGTCGACAACTCCCTGGTCAAGGTCAGCAGGAGATATCGCAATCGCTTTCGATCCAGCGTACCAAGTCCTTGAAGGTCTTCTTCGGGGCGTCCTCTTCAGTGGATGGGCCGTCGAGAGTCGCCGATTCCTCCTCGGACTCCTCTGGAGATGAGGAGGCATCATGCGCAGTCTTTCTTCGTTTTGGGTTCGTCATCTTGGCGGATTGTATCGTGAAATATCCCAGACGAAGAGGATCGGTCACTGGCGAAAGAAAGTTGACGGCAGAAAATGGTCTGCCAAGGATGATTAAATCGGGGTCAAGAAACTTTAGTGGGGTTTTGTTATCGCACGTGCGCTAGTCTTATCGCAATCCCCGCCAAACTTTTTTTCTTTCCTTGCGCCTGCGACAAAGGCCCAGCCTCTAGCTTGCAGGTTTTTGAAGCTTCACGAATCCCATCTACGCACCCCCGACAAGCCAATTCATCATGGCCCGCAAACGCACCAAGAAGAGAACCCACATGGGTGCCAACAACCCGGAGGTGGACGCTCCTGGTCACGCCAATGCGCGTGATCCCAAGAGCATGGTCATCCGAATTGGAGCTGGCGAGGTTGGATCCAGCGTCAGCCAGCTCGCAACTGACGTGCGAAGGGTCATGGAGCCCGGTACGGCTAGTCGATTGAAGGAACGCAGAGGCAACAGGTTGAGGGATTACGCCGTCATGGCCGGTCCGCTGGGCGTCACACATCTGATGCTGTTCTCGCGATCCGAGAGCGGCAACACCAACCTGCGAATGGCCCTCGCACCTCGAGGTCCGACACTGAACTTTCGCGTCGAAAAGTACTCGCTCTGCAAGGATGTCCAAAGAGCCCAAAGGCACTCCAAGGGCGGCGGCAAGGAGTATATCACTCCTCCTCTGGTAACATGACCCAGGCACTCGAGTTCCCATCATCGCTAACCCTCTTCCAGCTGGTCATGAATAACTTTTCTACCCCCAACGCCGACGCAAAGTCGAAAGTCCCTAAACACCTCGAGTCGCTCGCCACTACCGTCTTCCAATCTCTCTTCCCGCCAATCAACCCTCAAGCTACACCGCTCAAGTCGATTCGACGAGTTCTCCTCCTAAACCGTGAGGCGTCTGAGGAGGACGACGGCACATTCATAGTAAACTTTAGACATTACGCAATCACTACACGGTCAACAGGCGTCTCAAAACCTCTCCGGAGATTGAACGCTGCCGAGCACTTTCTGTCGACCAAGACGAGCAAAAAGGGAAAGATGCCCAACTTGGGCAAGCTTGAGGATATTGCCGATTTCCTGGTTGGTGGCGAAAATGGCGATGGCTACATGACCGATGCGACGAGTGGAAGTGAGCTGGACACTGATGCCGAGGTCGAAGTCCTTGATTCGGCTCCCAGAAAGGTTCTTTCTGCGAAAGCCAGGCAAGCAGCTGCTGAGAACGACGCCGAGCCGGAGGCGGAGGAGGAGAATGTCGAACGCCGTGCGGTGAAGCTCGTCGAACTGGGTCCACGGATGCGCCTACGCTTGACCAAGGTAGAGGAGGGTCTCTGCTCAGGCAAGGTCATGTGGCACGAGTATGTGCACAAGAGTCAGGCCGAGATTAAGGAGCTGGAGAAGCGATGGCAAAAGCGGAACCAAGAGAAGGACGCGCGACGCAAGCAGCAGAAGGAAAATGTTGAGAAGAAGAAGAAGGCGAAGGCGCAAAACGGCGGCAAGGACGACGAAGACGACGATGTCGATGACTATTACAGTGATATGGATGTGGACGATTTCGACAGCGAGGGATTGGCAGGCGATGCCGAATACAAAGTCAATGAGAAAATGGAAGAGGATGGCGAGTGGGAAGACGAGCAGGAGGAGATTGCCAACAATTTCTAGAACTATTTTCGATGGCGGTTACTTACCATTGGGTTTCGGTTATGGCGTTGTACATATCTGGGTCTACAGGCAATGAATGCGTGATTCCTCTTACGTGCATCGTACAATTTTGCGCCTTCGCTGTGTCATTGAATGATGTGCTTCATGATGATGAGATGTGTGTCATGTGGACTGAGAAAATGAACGATATACACATCTCATACATGCAATCTACACCATTGTTGCAGGCAAGAGAGGCCCAAGCCAGCGTAGCGATGATGCGACAATCATCAGAGCAAGGTTTTCCGTCCCAAACTAATGAGAGCGAGTTCGCATCAGAAGCGCATATGGAATCTGCTGTTTATGATGTCAAATCAATGAAGCCGTGACAGAACCCTGTCGGGTGCAGGGTAGCCAGATAATTTTTGGAGAGCTGTCCGACGCCCGCTATCTACTACCTAAATAAGGTATCTAGTGCAGCGTACACCGTGAGACAACTCAACAAACTCCTTGCACGCAACCGCCTCTCTGGTCTCACGCGACGTCTTTCCAAGCCGGTGTCGGGGTGCTTTTTATCCTTTTTGCATTTTTTTCCCTCTTCTAATCATTCAACGGCCCGCGCTTTGTTACGTACCAACCTAGATCTAGCTTGTCCCGGAGAATCTCATCCGGCCTTCACGAGCAGATTCACGGCGGTGACTGCAAGCGCAGCAACAGGTACAACAACACCATGCTTCGCAGGCCCACGGGCAATGCCTGGGCGACGCAAATTTTGCGCAACCGCGCGGTGCGAGTGCCGCCTCTGACGTGGGCGCGCCTCTCATCAACTGGCGCGCCTCAGCCCAAGCCCTCACCGACCAAAACCCTCCGTTCTAGCGCCGAGGCGGCCAGGGATTCCAAGTGGGAGCGCACCAAGAGGCGGTTGTGGGAAGAGGTACCCAAGACTCGTCAGGAGTGGAGGAGGCTCATTCTCTTGGCTGTGGCTATCCAGATTGTATGGACCGTGTACGACAATGTGCGTGAATCCAGCCCCTCTCCCGTACCTCCCCTCGAGGCCGCTGCGTCGGAAGAGCTGGTTCCCGTTGAGTCGCCCGTCGAGGTCCTCGACCTCGAGGCTGCGAATGCGAAACTGCGCAGGGAGTCCCGCAGCTTCGTCTTTGAGGGCCAGGACAAGGTGCAGGGTCGTGTAGACGTGGTTCGTGTCGCGAGCAACCACCCGGTCGAGGATGAGTGGGATCTCGCCGTGGCCAAGGGCGTTGGTGGATCGAAGACTCTGTATTCGGGGGTTTATGATGGGCATGCGTAAGTTCGCTGAGTGAAGAGGCGTTGAATGGAGTTGGAACTGATTCGGATATACAGTGGCTGGGCTACGTCCAAGGTGTTGAAGCAGTCCCTAGTATCGTATGTCTCGGCGGCTTTGTCGCGGGTCGCGTCGTCTACTTCTGGCAACCTGGTAGATGAGGCCATCAAGAACGCATTTGTTCGTCTCGACGACCGCATCACCGCTGATGCTACCGATGCAGTCAAGGCCGGCTACGATCCCGGTGCCGCCGAGGTCATCTCCGCCATAGCCCCAGCCATTGCTGGCTCTTGCGCCCTTCTCTCCATCTATGATCCCCAGACGTCTACCCTGCGCACCGCCGTAACTGGAGACTCCCGTGCCGTCCGCGGAGCCTGGTCCGATAAGTCTCAGCAGTTTGAGGCCGACCAGCTGAGCGTCGACCAAACGGGCTTCAACAAGGGCGAAGTCGATCGCATCGACCGCGAGCACCCCGGTGAAAAGGACGACATCCTGAGCCCCGTTTCCGGCCGGCTCCTCGGCCTGGCCGTGACGCGGGCCTTTGGCGACCACCGCTGGAAGTGGACCAAGGAGCTCATCACGACTGCCAAGGAAGACTTTTACGGCACGACCCCACGGCCCAGCTACAAGACGCCCCCCTACATGTCCGCCGAGCCCGAGGTGACGACGCGCCAGGTCCGCACCGACGACTTTGTCATCCTCGCGTCCGACGGCCTCTGGGATACCATCAGCAACGAAGACGCCGTTGCCTGCGTGTCGCGCTGGCTGGCCGCCAAGCGCGCCGGCCGCCCCGAGCCCGTCAAGGAGACCAAGCACAGCGGCCGGCTCGGCGACGGCTGGACGGCTACGCCCGAGCACTTTGCCATCGAGGATCTCGACAGCGCGGCTGTGTGCTTGGTCAAAAACGCCCTGGGCGGCTCGAGACGCCAACTGTTCCTTGGCGCTGTCACCACCTACGCGCCCATGAGCCGCAACGTGAGGGATGACATGACCGTGCAGGTCATTTTCTTCAGGGACCCGTACCAGACTAACGGGTGGAGGAGAGCGTTTGGCGTTAGAGAGCACCGGTAGATGGGTTGACATTGTTTCCATGCATCTTCCTGAGGGGTTGCATGACATAGGATTGGTCATTGATAGAGGATAACTGGTGGCGCTGGATATGTATATCTGATTGCTTTACCCTACTCGGATAGTTCATGAGCCATTAAAGACTCGTCCCTCTTAACTTCTTCTCATTCTATCTATATGCTGTTGAATACTACCGTTAGACAATCGTCAAAAATGTCCCTAGTTCTGGGAGGCCGCTGCGACAAAATTTCTCCACACCTCATCCATCACCTTTGGTTTGACAACATAGAATGAGAAACTTGTCCTTTTCCGACAAGACCCGTGTTTACATTGAATCAATGAACTCGGAAGATTTATCTTCCCTAGATGGGTATGAAGGCTACTACTGGCTGGCCAAAGTTCCCATTCCGGGTCGGACGCAAATAGGAGCCTATGCCATAACCTCGCAACGCTCTCAGTTATTAGGCCAGAACAGGATGAACCTCGCAGGCATTTAAGTAAGAATGGTTGCTCTGACTGTGCACTGAAATCTTGGTTGCCTCGTCACGAACGCCTTGCATCTGAGCAATCTGGTTCTGCTGCGATGGCAATTGCGATAACTTGTCAGTTGAGTTATGCTCAGGGTATAGAGTTTTCACTTACGTAAATGTAGAAAGAAGAGAGGAGGGGGAGGGCCGCCGTTGGAGAAGAGGTCCAAAAAAATATTGCGACCTGGCGGGAATCCGCCCAGAGGTCTGTACAAATCGTGAGGGACACCGGATTTGAACCGGTAACCTTCAGGAAATTCCTATTACTGGAATCTGACGCGCTACCGTTGCGCCAGCCCCCCGATTGGTTTCTTGGTTGTGTTGAGCGACAATTAATTGTCTCATATAATACGACGCGATGGATGTGAGAACGTGAGGTGGTAAAAACAAGCGTGTTCCTTGGCATTGTGGGGCGACCCGCCGACCAACCACAACTGAGGGTCTATTGTGGGGCAGCCCGCCAACCACCTTTTCGGGAGGCGGCTTGCCCCACAATCCCAAAACGGGTACTCCAGGGAACGCATCAACAATACCCTCCTCGTCCTCCCCTCGTTCGTCTGCACCCTGTATTATTATTGCCTCATGATCTTATTGTCGACATCAGTTGGATTGGTCGCGGCTTGGTAGGGGAGTTAACCTTACGTGGTGGTTGGTTGTGCGAAGACCAATATGTGGTTGTGTGATCAACCATGCTCAAGAAAAAATGAAAAAAATCTAAAAAAAAAATGAGGGATACCGGATTTGAACCGGTGACCTTCAGGAATTTCACATACTGGAATCTGACATTCTACCGCTGAACTAATCCCCCAATCAGAGCTGTTTGTTGAAAGAGGCGAGACGAAATCGTACTATACAGCTGGGCGAGCGACAAGTGATTAAGCCCAGCAAAAAGTGATGGCAATGAGGGATACCGGATTTGAACCGATGACCTTGAGGAATCTCTCGACTTGTAATCGCTGGAATCTCATATTCTACCAACTGAACTAACCCCCCAATTGATGTTCCCAGTCGAAGAAAATATCATTATGTACAACAACAACAACAACAACAACAACAACAACAACAACAACAACAACAACGTCAGGATGTCCAACCAGACCTGGACAGGAGCAGCAAGATAAAAGTACGTGTTTTTTTTGTAGGCACTTTTCGGTATTACTTGCGCTGTAACATCGAGGCTGGTCAGCAATCGACTCTGGGTCTTTGTCCAAGCCAGTATGTGGGACATCGATGTGTGGTTGCCATGTCTTCGCGGAATGCATTGAGAAATCAACCACGCAATTTCCCAATACAGCTGTCGTCTCGAACCGGAGGATGGCGTGGCTGTAGACGCCCGGTGAAACAAATTCTGCCCATCCCCTTTTCCTGAATCTGAGAAGCTAGTAAGTGGAAAGAGGTTATGTCCCACCACAGCTAGAGAATGAGGAGTGATTGATGGGTGATGTCAGCTCCTTGTGAGCTGTAGCGTACTCTAGACCACGGTTGATGTTTGTGTTGGACAGACTGCCTGCCATTGCGGGACTTGCTTTAGTTCTTTCAACCAAGTTGTTGATGAATGCCGTCAACTTTTCCTAGCTATCGTGCATCCTTCCAGTAATTGCCGCATGATCTGTGAGGCTCTGCAACATTGACTCGCAGGTCTAAGATTTTTGGGAGACAAAAACCTCAAAATTTTTGTCTTCGTACAATGATGATGCAGACCGAGCCCTAGCCGGACGAGAATCTCGCACATTGTGTAGTCTCGGGTCAAAGTCTGCGTACACTGCTACTTTAATACTGAAACCCAACAGATTGTGTTGAGACTTCGTTAGTCACTTTATTCATAAGGGTGGCAAGAGGTGGCAGAAAACACCAGACGCCATGAAGCATTCACTTATTACTTATCCTTAGTATTATTTTGATCACTTTAATAAATTAAAGTAATTTATGGCGTTATTTAGTTCACTTGATGGCCTTTTTCAGTTATGTTTTACTTCCTAATTTAGTACTAATATAGCTGTTGTGGCTTAATTTATGATACATACAGTATTAGCACATAAGGTGTTTTCTTTCTTCAAAGGGTCAGTAAAAATTAAATCACAATTTAGAACTTGGGGTAAAGAAGGGCTACATAATTCATTAGATTGAGATATGTTACATGCGACCTTTAAGACGTATTCAATTTGCCGGTTTGTATGCTCGTAGAGTTGTATAGGCACTTTGGCCTGAAACTGTACAGTGAAAGGATGGCGGACAGGGCGCCAATGGTCCTACGCAATGTCACACTAGAGGGCTGCACCCACTGAAATCCATTAAGAGGTAAAATTGCAGTCACTGTAGCCCGCTATAAATTAGGCGCCTACATCAGTCTAGCTCGCTATGGTAACGACACTTGTACCCAAGTCCGCATTCTGCCCTATTCTGCCCATCGTCAGGTCGGAATCGTCTTTAGAGACCGCTGGACCGAAAGACCAACCCCTTTTCGTTCAGAAACAGCTCACCATAGTCATGGCCCAAGCATTACTTGGTGGTAGAAAGCCACGGGTAGTGGCACTGGGAACTCCCAAGTTTGTCGGCGATGACTACTTGGCCGAGTTCAAGAAGGACTTTGACTACCAGGTCTGTACACGAATCAATCTGTGTCAAGCCAAAGCCTCGCAGCTGACACTATATCGTAAACAGGTTCTTGATGTGAAGAACCACCAAGAAACGCTGGAACAGTTGCCGGCAATGATAGAAAAACACGGCCCTATCGATGCTTTCATTATCCGGATGGGCAGAGGCCCGTATCATCCATTCAACGAGGCCATGTTTAAACCCCTCACCCCGCACTGTCGCATCATTGCATCCGCTGCCGCAGGGTACGATGACTTCGATATCGAATGGCTGACGCAGAATAATATCTGGTTCTGCAACAGCCTTGACGCGGTCGCAGAGGCGACGGCCGACATGTCCTTTTTTCTGACCCTGGCCGTCGTGCGAGACACGTCTCGAGCTGAGCGCTGTGCGCGCGAGGGTCTGTGGAAAGATCCCGTCGTTCCCAGTAAGGATCCTTCGGGCATGACGCTGGGAATCGTTGGCATGGGCGCCATCGGCAAGCATCTGGCGAAGCGGGCGGATGCCTTCAACATGCGCATCAAGTACTACAATCGTCGGCAGTTGAGCGCCGACGACGAAGCCAGGTATAATGCAACATACTGCACTTCCCTGCACGAGCTGCTCGGCCAGTCCGACGTCGTGTCCATAAACTGCCCGCTAAACGCTGAGACGAAGAACCTCATCTCGACCAGGGAGTTTTCGGCAATGAAGGATGGGTCGTTTATCGTCAACACGTCCCGCGGTGCCGTGGTCGACGAGCCTGCTCTCATCGCCGCGCTCGAGAGTGGCAAGGTTGCAAGGGCCGGGCTGGATGTGTTTTGGAACGAGCCGGACATTGACAGCTACTTTAAAACCAGCGACAAAGTCACCATCCAGCCTCATGTGGGAGGGCTGACTGACTTGGCATTCCAAAAGGGAGAAAGGGAATGCTTCGAGAACATTAAGGCGTTGTTCAAGACCGGACGTCCGATTGCGCCTGTAAACGAGATATCTTAAACATCAACGTGGAGTATGTACGGGAAGTATAGCCGTATCATTGTTCACTCCCGTATTCGCCATCGAGCTGCTGAACAAACTCGTAGTCAATGTCAGTAAGTTTGGGCAACTTTTACAAAGACTGAGATTAGCAAATCCTGTGTCCGTGTAGCGTAGACCTAGATCAATCTAGCTAGATTTAACTCCATCAAGTGGATAGTTGAAGCAATGGCGCTCGGTCAGCCAGAACGCATGAGTAGCACTGGTTGTTTCATTAGGTGTCCATCAAAAATATAATAAGTATAAAATCTTGTTCGAATGCCCGTAGTTATTCCCGACTCGTGATTGCGGAGAAATAGATCTAATGAGCGGCGGCTGGGTGATGAAATTGTGAAACCGGACCATTGCCGTAGGGCCGTCGCAAACCGACCGAGTCGGGAATGACATGCTTCATGATGCTTGCCGCGATAATGTCGACGAATAGAATGACAAGACTGCTATCTTCGGAGGATCGGGGCTTTATCTTGTGCCTGGATTGCGAATCACAAGTGTAGATCTAACTCGTCGATAAAGATCGACGGTGACGCCTCTTTTGAAGAGTCATCGGCAGATATCGTATCTGCTTATCTTGTTACAGATAACGGCAACTTAGATCCGCACCTCCAGCATCTCATATCAGCTTCTCCCGATGTCTTTAAGGCACGACTATCCCAGATCAAAGGCTTTTTCATCATATCTTTTTAATTCTCTTCTCAATATTCACAATGGCTCCAAGTGCAATTGGTTGTCCCTTATCCGAGGTCTCGTGGGTCAACCGCGATGACCTGCGAACCTCCTTCACACTAGCCATGTCGGCCATGTACAAGACCGAGGTTCCTCTCTACGGTGACTTGGTCCGTATTGTCGGAGACGTCAATCAGTCGACGCTCGGTAGTGCTCTCGACCCCAAAGTAATGGCTATGCGCTATGGAGATGTTGCGTCTTCTCGCCTTGATGTTGAGAGGCACGGGGCTATCAGATTGGGGACGCCTCATGAGCTCCGCACCGTCCGTCGGATATTTGCCCTTATCGGACTATACCCTGTCGGATACTACGACCTTTCTCCTGCCGGTCTGCCCATGCATGCCACCTGCTTCAGACCAAAGACGGAGGTGTCGCTGCATAAGAATCCGTTTCGAGTCTTCACCTCCGTTCTTCGGCCAGAACTCATCAAAGACCGCCGAGCCAGGGATCTGGCATTGGAGCTGCTTTCGAATCGCAACATCTTTACCGACGAGCTCATGCAACTCCTCAGCCTCGGCGATGCTCAGAGTGGGAGGTTGACGCCAGACCAGGGACACCGGCTCGTGACGGAGGCGATGAAGACCTTTAGCTGGCATGGAACCGCTGCTGCCTCACACGACGACTATCAGTGCTTGAAAGACGAGCATCCAATCCTGGCCGACATTGCTTGCTTTCGGAGTTCACACATCAACCACCTCACTCCTCGCACGCTCTGCATCACATCTGCACAAGATCTAATGAAGGCGGAAGGGCTCATGGTGAAAGAAAGAATTGAGGGCCCACCTCCAAGATCGTGCCCTATCCTCCTACGTCAAACGAGTTTCCTTGCCATTGAAGAACCCATCAAGTTCCTGGGCACTGGCGATTTAGCTTCAAGCTCGCTGGTACAAGGCTCTCACCGTGCTCGGTTCGGGGAAATCGAAGAGCGAGGCGCCGCCGTCACTCCGGAGGGTAGGCGACTGTACGACGAGCTCCTTGACGAGGCGATGATAGCAGCGGAAAAATATCCCCAAGATCCCAGTTCGGAAGAGTTTGACAAACTGGTTGGAACGGTCTTCAAGAAATATCCCGATGATTGGAGCGAGCTGAGAAGACGTGGTTTAATCTACTGCACCTTCGAAACGACCGACAAAGGCACAAAGGCAAGGCTCCCTAAACGGGCATTCAATCTCGATACGCTCCTGGAGCAAGGCCTCGTTGAAGTGTTCCCGATGACCTATGAGGATTTTCTTCCTCTTTCAGCAGCCGGGATCTTTCAGTCTAACTTGGGCTCCAAGTCTCCCCTGAGGGATACGCAAACCCATCCGGATGCTGAGGGATTGGAGAACGTCCTCGGAGCTAGTCTTGGCGATGCTGATGCAATCTATCGGACAGCGCAAGCGGAGAGTTTAGTGAGATGTGCTTCCAAATTGGGAATCGAGATTCATGTTTGAGTTATTTTGGGTACGGGATAAGGGAAATGATGGCAAGGGTTGTTTGAACACAAAGGATGACAATTGATATGGCCTTGCGAGGTATCGTATATCACTATTTGACCGAACTAGACATCGGTTTGATACGAATGAATGACTGCCTATAGCTGCGGGTGGCAACAGTCCTCGTGACGTATTTGAGGTCCTTTTGTTTCAGTTAGAATTACTGATATGATGTTGCTATCA